ATGCTTTTTGTCCATTATTGATAAGTAGGAGGTGTAATCTATGCAAAAACAAAATTAAACCTTCTTTGTTTGAAACGCATTAGTATTTTACAGTTCAATTAAAAAGAAAAGCTGAACTAAAGATACACATAAAAAGTGGTTCCTATTTCTTATGGTTTGTTCAACATCACACATGAAACTAAACGTTGAGCTGTGTATTGTTGGATTACTGATTTTCCGTGCAGTACGGTCTGCTCTGGTCTAAGGGCTTTATCATACACCCGGCACAACAAGGCACAAGACACGTTTGCTGCAATTTGTTGCTATTTTCAGACCAGCGCAACCCTAGTTTTCACGTTTTGCGCTACATTGTTTAATGTAACAAGTCTATTTTGTGCCACTTTGTTGACTTATGGGCATGTTAGTCTAAAATAGAGATGTGTTGTTGGTGCGTTGCTATTTTGAAGAACTGAAATAGCCCGCACCACTCACTAACTGAAAGCTGGTCTAAAGTCCATTGCAGAGCATGTTAGTTATGCACCTATGCAGTGGCAAATGCTTAGACATTGCTTAATACAAACAGAATGTACAGCAATACACAAATATCTTTATATATTAAATAAATTAAAGGATTAAAATGTTCAAAAATTATCATTTTCTACATAAATATAAAAAAATGTTTGCTGTAAATTAGAACTAAATTTAGAACTAGTTTTGAAACAAATCTTTGCGCTCAACAAACAAAATTAAATGTAGGCTAATAGATGTCCTCAGTGGAGTGAGTTTCCACCGTTTCCTTATCTACAAAAGTAAAAAGGTAAAGAGTAAAAATAAAGAGAAAGAGAAAGTAAAAAAGCCAAATGGAGGAGGCTCGTTCTTTATCTTTGCGCTGCAGATGGTCTGTTTAACTGTTCTCAAAGTGAAGCATTCCTTTTCTCTTCTTACAAAGCCTGCCATGTAAATAGCAAATGCACCATGGCGAGACACAACAGACTCTTAAAGGGAATGTGAGATGAGACTGTGATTGGTTTAATGCACATTATGCTCAAAACACACCCATAACTCATTGAAAAGAAGAAGCACAACCCTGTTAGACCATGCGCCATGGCGCAGAGCGTAATTTTTTGTCCTTAAAATAGCAAAAGTGTATTCGAAAACCCCCCTAATGATTTTGCGCCATTCGCTTTAGACTTTGCGCCTAGATAAAATAGAGCCCTAATTGTTCAGATTGGATTGTACAGTGCTGGTTCAGAAGTATTGTTTTTCCCGTAGTGATATTTAAAAGGTCTTTGCTAAAGCATTATGAATTATGAACCAACCAGCAATGAGGAGAATCACATTACAAACTGTGATTTGAATCAGAGTGTTTGAAAGCGTACTAATGTAAGTGTTTGAGTACTGTACTATACGTCATTATTGTCACATTACCTCACTAACTAAAAATTAAAAAAAATTTCGAGGCACTCAAGTGGACTTGAAAATAAAAAGCCTTTAATAAATGAATCATTAAATATGTTAGCCAGCAATATTTTTTATGATTGAGTCCATATCTATTAAAGACCTTTTATATTCAAACCACTTGAGTGCTTTGGAGTTTATTGTTTTTTATTTATGAGTTACAGTACCTCTCAAGCTACCAGTTAGGATCATTACCCTGTAATACACACATTTTGGTTTGTATTGAAGATTTTCTCATTGCTTTTATTGACAAATAGTATACGCTTTAGAAGTCTGATTGAAAAATGATCCATTCACTTCCATTTCATTCATCACCACTTATATCTGTGCATACATGTCATGCATAACTGTCCTAATTTAGCATGTCGTCCAAATGCCTCCAGACAATTAGCATATGGTCAACAGACCTTAAAAATCGAGAGCAAATCTCCCTTCTGTCTCTCTCTTTTCTCGTGTTCTCTCCCTCTCGGACTGATGCTCATTATTATTGCACAGTTTTGACGGCACTGCAGTCAGATTTCAAATCTGGCTGGTAGCTCGGTTACAGAAAACAGCACTCTAATAGCCTGAGGTCTGAGTTTAGCCAGTGCAAGGAGTGACTGGCAGCTGTACATGCACTGAGCGCTGGAGCAGGGTTTTATTTCAAATGCCACTCTGGCTTTCCCAAGCAGCTCGTTGGCACAAGGTCAAGCAACAGGAAGACACTGCAGGTCAGTGTGTGTTTGTGCACGTTGATCTGGGTAGATATTTAATACAGTCAAACGGTGGATGAAATGGCATCTTATGCTGCTGAAACAGGACGTGTGAGATCATGTAGGTGTGTGATTGACGTGTGCAGCTGTAGGCATGTAGATGACATCACACAAGTGTTGATGGGATGACAGAGTGTTTACTATGGAGCTAAAAGTCACATGCAAGCATCAACAAATTCACTGTTGCCATTAGGTTGTGATAAACAGTTGTTGCCTAGAGTAAAATAAGCATGTGTGCCTTCGCATTTCGGCAAAGATGTCTTCGTCAAGGTGATAAAATTCAGATGCGTCTGGAGTTTGTTTGAACAATCGATATGTCACATGACACGATTAAATTACTAAACACAACAGAATATTATATAACTCAAACAATAATGTTGAATCAACAACTGTTCACATTACAGTACACTGGAAAAAAATTAATAAATAAATAAATTGAATAAACAATTAAATAAATCCATTAATTTGACTTGCAAATTAAGGTGACTGAACATAAAACAGTTAAGTTGTCCCAAAAATAAACTTAAGAATTGTGTTGTTTCAACTTATTTTAAATAAGTTGTTTTGAACAAGTGGCACAAGTCATTTTTTGAGTGCAGAAAAATTATAATATTAAAAATCAGACAAATGCAGACAAAATATCAGACAAAATGAGAAAAAATGTCAACAATATGTAAATAATATAAAGCTGTAAAATACAACAATAATAATGAAAGAAGAAAAGGAAAAAAATAACAATACTGTTACAAAAAAAGTCGAAAAAATCTTGTACTTGTGCAATAGTTAATTTGTTTTCCAAAAAAAAAAAACATTCTGTGAAACTACTCAATACACTTTCAAAACTCTAAAGTAATATATATATATATATATATATATATATATATATATATATATATATATATATATATATATAAATATATAAATGCCACAGGGTTGTTTGTTTGATTGCTTCAACTTATGTATTTATTTATTTATTTGTTGGTTTGTTCGTTAGTTCGTTCGTTCATTAATTAGTTAGATTTCCAGTAGTTTGTTCATTCATTAGTTCGTCCGTTCATTAGCTCCTTTGTTCATTAGTTCGTTCGTTCCTTAGTTTGTTATTTTATTAGTTCATTCGTTTATTAGTTTGTTCGTTTATTATGTCATTCATTCATAATTTTTTTATGTTCAGTGAGAAGATTCTAGCCTGTGTTGGGCTGAACAAGTGCACTGAAGTCAGGTTGAATGTGAGGTGGATATGTGATGTAATAATCATCACTGAGGATCTGTATCTGCATTTATTGAATCATTAATCTGAGGTAATCAGTAAACATTTATTACTGTGTAATTCCATTCAAAGTGTGAAGCTGCCTGCTGGTTTCTGTCACATGACTCGTGGTTTGCTCGCGACACTCTGAAATGTTTATTTTTTTAAACTCGTGGCACCTGGAAAACATGAGCGTGCTTTGCAATGACATGTGCTTTGCAAGGCCCTGTTTGTGGTTGAATTTAAATTAAATAAATATTTTACGTGGGCCGAACAAAGTAGTCCAGTGGGCCGCATGTGGCCCATGGGCCATAAAATGCCCGGATCTGTTTTAAAGTGTAGATGCACATCCAGCTGGTTGTTATTGCAAAATAAACCTAGATGTTGGTAGGGTTGATTTTGTGTTTGCAACAAGCTACGTGTAAATTATCTTTAGACACATAGATATAAATGGTACCTGCTAGTTTGCCAGTTACAATAGTCTTTGCAGTTTGTTCAAATGTAACTTTTTAACTCAGAAGTATGGTGGCTGAGAGAGCCTTATGTGCTGCAATTGAACAAAATACATGTAATTACAAACAAAACGCCAGCTAATTAAGAAAAGATCCTCGTCGGGTTGTCAACATTCGTTCATTCATTCATTTTTCTTTCAGGTCAGTCCCTTTATTCAGCAGGGGTCACCACAGTGGAATAAACCACCAACTTATTCAGCATATGTTTTACACAACGAATGCCCTTTCAGCTGCAACCCAGTACTAGGAAACACCCAAACACTACGGCCAATTTAGTTTATCAATTCACCTGTACCACATGTCTTTGGACTGTGGGGAAAACCGGAGAAGCCGGGGGAAACCCACACAAACACTGGAAGAACATGCAACTCCACACAGAAATGCCAACTGACCCAGCCATGACTTGAACCAGCAACTTTCTTGATGTGAGGCGACAGTGCTAAACGCTGAGCCACCATGCCGCTCAGTTTGACAGCATATATGTTGCATATCCTTTGTGAGGATTGTCAGTTGGCTTTCAATTGCCACTAATTCTCAAACATCGTTAAAGTGTGCATGCTTTGTTGTGATTTCTCTTCTTACTTGCATCTATTTGCATACCTGTTGCGTTTGTTCACAGCCAAGTCTTGTAACCAATAAGCTGGTTTGATCGCTAAAGAAACCGAGATGCTTTTTCTTTGAGCACGGCATTTTTCAAATTCCACCATCGTCTCGTATTGTAGTAATAAATTTGATTTTATTATTCTTTTTATGTTCAGCATGAAGTTGTTTCCCCTCTACCAGAAGCCTGCAGTGAAAGAAAATAAACATCAGAGCGGGATGTGTGTGGGGAAAAATGACTACAGACGTTCAGGCAGTGCACTGCGACAGGCAGTAAAACAGGGCAGCTTGCATTAGGGGCTGAATCTGGCTCTGAATGCGAGCTTGGACATTCCCAGAATCCCTGGTGCTCCGCGCTCATTTACACTGTGGCTCATTAGCCTGATTAGCAAACTCTCTGTTAGTCTCTTTTGCTTGTTTTTCCATTCTAACACCCTTTCGTTCTCTCCTCAGGACCAATGATCAGCTGGTGGCCTTCCTGTCCAAATACAGAAATATGAATTTCATCAAGTCTCATGGGAGAGACAACGCTCGGTGAGTGCTGACATGTGATGATGGCTGAAACGCACGCCAGCTGCACAGAATAATAACGGCTAAAAATACATTTGTTATTTGCATTGTTAAAAATTGCCAACAGATTCATCAGAAAACAGGGTTTGGACCGGCTTTTCTTTGAGTGCGACACCCATATGTGGCGGCTTGGAGACAGGAAAATTCCAGAAGGAATATCGGTGGATGGAGGCTCTGACTGGTTTCTGCTTAACCGGATGTTTGTGGAGTACGTCATTAACACTCAAGACGACCTTGTGACTAACATGAAGCGCTTCTATGCGTACACGCTGCTGCCAGCAGAGGTGAGATTCTGAAATCTAGTGCAAAATCACAAGCAAAGAAGTGTTGTTTTTCAGAAAAAAAATAAATAAATAAATCTGAAAATTCTTACAACAACATGAGTTTAGTCAATTAATAATTTCAGAATGTCTACATTTATGAGTCTTTAAACTAATTCTGATTCTAATTATTTATTCATTCATTAATGTTCTTGTCGACGTAGTCCCTTTATTAATCCGGGATCGCCACAGCGGAATGAACCGTCAACTTATCCAGCACATTTTTTACGCAGCGGATGTCTTTCCAGCAGCGACCCATCTCCGGGGTTGCATGCACACGCACACACGCACACACACACACACACACACACACACACACACACACACACACACACACACACACACACACTCATACACTACGGACTATTTAGCCTACCCAATTAACCTGTACAGCATGTCTTTGGACTGTGGGGGAAACCGGAGCATCCGGTCATTTATATATATATATATATATATATATATATATATATATATATATATATATATATATATATATATATATATATATATGTATGTATATATATATATGAGCAATATCACACTCGTAGCAGTGCGATATGGCTGTATATCGGCACTGGTGGGAGGCGTGCGATGCCTTAGTTGCCCCCACCCGTGCCAATATACAGCCATATCGCACTGCTACTTGTGTGATATTGCGATTATACAACAGTTTGACGGCATTATTGTGTATATAAAAACTAAATCAAACACAGAGAGTTTCAAAAACCCTTTTGTATGAGGAACTACTTTATTCCACATTGGATTCAAATCATAAGCTGACAGTTAAACAGTTGAGCAAGCATCTTTTAAACTTTAGATCTAGTGTCTGTTTTTTGCTGGCTGTATGTGGGCGGAGTAATACACGGAGGGGAAAGAGGCTGTAGGAGTTCTGATATTGCAGAATATCGCACAGTTATCAGCCAATCAGATTTGAGAACCAGACAGAACTGTTGTATAAATATATATATACATAAATATATATATACACGAGTAGACGTGCGATATGGCTGTACACAGTAAATAACAGTAGATTATGGTTATTTAATATCAGAACTGTGATATTAATGAGTTTACAATTACAAGTGGATTAACCATTACAAAAAGATAAAAGGTTTAATGAAGAATTTTATAATTTATAATCAATCAATTTTAAACCGCGCGATTTGAATAGATGCGATTATTTCCATAATTATTATAACGAGGGAGGAGAGCGCGAGTAATTAAAACGATCCAACTAATGTTACTTAAAAAAAAACTATGTGACAACTGTTACAGCAGAACCTGCGAGCCCCTATTTCACAGCTAAGGACTTGCCATTAAAACGACCACATCTAACCTGCAGTTCTTTTATGAAATTATAGTATAATCGCATTTTAATTAGCAAATTTTGATCAGATAAATCGCTATTAGATTTTTGCTTCAAATCATGCAACCCTTATTTCTGCAAATAAACCTTATTTTAAACAGTCTTTCTTTTATCCTGTGCTGAGGGAGTTGTACTAAAAAACAGCAGTAATGATCAAGGAAATGACTTTTGCATTGCACATTATTACAAGAATTCTGCTACGTTAATTCGCAAGATAGGCGTTTCATTAATATTTCTCCTTTATTCGCAGACTCTGAAGTTTACACTGATAAATTGAGTAAATTTCCAAAAAGCGGGATGAATTTGCATAGTTTTATTTGCTCATTTGCGATTGTGTGTTTGCTCATTTGAAATGGCTGTGTCAGTGTGTTAGTTTTAATGAAGGGCTTTTTGCTGCGCGGTGGCGAAATTGGATTCTTTGCTCTGTCTAGGTCTAGTTATTCTCCGTTGAGATATTGGATATTGTGGCTTGAGAAGGCAATTGGCTCTTTTACTGATGTAGACATTTAACACACTAGACCTCCTGACAGGGCCATTCTGTTAGACATCCATCTTCATTTTATCAGATGTCATTATTCTGTTTCAACCTCTTAGTCATCTATTCTCTTCTCTTTCTCCTCACCTCCTACCGTCCCTTCCTATTCATCATCCCCCTCGCTCTTGTCTTCACAGTCGTTCTTCCACACGGTTCTGGAGAACAGTCCGCACTGCGAGAGCATGGTGGACAACAACCTGCGCATCACCAACTGGAATCGAAAGCTGGGTTGCAAGTGTCAATACAAGCACATCGTGGATTGGTGCGGCTGCTCGCCCAACGACTTCAAGCCTTCCGATCTGCCCCGTTTCCAGGTAAGCGTCTCACGAGGCTTTCCGGCCTCTCACTGTCTGACTGTATCAATGCAGTCGGCACTAACCGGAACAGTTCAATGAACCCGATCATTAGTTAAACTCTTTCAAAGCCTTTTCAGTGGCAGAGCTGACCTCACGCCTGAAGGAGACCCACGCCACGTCCTGTTTAGTCAGAATAAGCACAATAGGGCTTTAATTTACCTTAAACAAACACCTAATAGTGTGAGACAAGCTCTCCAGTCAGTAGCGATTTCAGTCGTGATTAGAAATCCGATGAGACTCAACTAAAGGAAAGCCTTGCTAACTCGTGCCTACACAGGGGATCTGTAATTAACTCTGGCCGGCAGAAAAGGACGATGAGGGATCAATTGCAAGGCGGTCTTTCATCAAAAGGATTCTGCTAGTATAGAGCAATGAGGCCGTGGAGCTTGACCGCAGCAGCCAATTCCCTTCTCTCCCTCCCCACCTTTGGTCTGGAAGTCTCTCATTAGCCTCCAGTACAGAGTCAATCCTAACGTGGTCATGCCCGACCCCAGTGACTCACTCTCCCTCTATTGTAGACAGAGCCACAGGCCCAGTCCAAATGAGTTTCAAACTTGTCATTCCCAGCCTGGTAGTTTTCACACAGCTGGCTGTGTTTTATTTTTTCCGAGCTCCTTCAACAGAACTGCAACTTCGCATTTTCTCAGTTTCGGTTTTCTCTCTCGCTCTCGCTTTTTTTTCCCCTTCATGCCATGTTGCTCGTGGTGTGGTTTCACATTAAAAGATGCAGCGGTGTATTCGGCAAACCATTTGCTCATAAACTCCCTACTGTGCGCCTGTGTGCCAAACCATGACATCATCACCGTGTGCCACATCGGGCTGATTTTTTTTCCAGTAACCACCCAGTTGATGAAGCCACTTATTTTTTGTTTAACCATAATGATGTTCTAAGTAAAGTGTTTTGATTTATTTTAACTAGGCATGGGCCGGTATAAGTTTCAGATGGCATGATAACCTTGGATAAAAATACCACAGTATCACAGTATTGTGACTTTGTTACTCCATTGAACACAATATATTATATTTTTGGAAACATTTATAATATTTTGGTACAGTAAACATGTCAAGCTTAATAATTCAAATAAGTCATTGACTTCTGCTGTCTTCACCACTTCAAATTTTAGCGGTTTTAAAACCTTGACTTTTCGAAACCGCTGTAAACCTTGAAACCGGTTATCGTCCCATGCCCACTTTTAACATGATTTTGGCGTTCTGTTCTGAATGAGGGCTAGAAGCCCAGCAGCATCATCACCTCATTTTGAACACTGCTAAATGTTTGCAGCCGCAACTCCTCTATATAATGGAGTCCATTCAGTGAGTGTGTGGTTAACTCATTCAGGCCTGGACTGGGGGAAGGGCCTGTGAGCGTTTAGTGGCTCATTATCACTGAAGGCATAGCCATAGTGGGTATTATTGAGTAATTATTCTGTGACAATACCTCCTTTCTCACAGACAGCTCTGAAGGAAAAGGACAATGGGAGAGGAAGGGAAGCTTGAAATGTGTCATGGCAGTTCAGTTTTATCCACAGATTTCTCACCCCTCACCCTATAGAGGCCTAAAGCGCAGAAAAGAGCTTCCTGGACATGCTTTTCCAAATCACTTTATTACATTTCTTTCCGCTGTCTCTTTTACTCACATCTTTTTGCTTGCTGTAAATGTTAGGGGGGAAATCACTGCTTAGTTTAGAGGGATTGTTCAACCAGGTAAAGTAATTGTTTACTCACACATTGCTGTTTTAGGGTTGTTTTAGGGTTTGTTTACACTACAACAATGTCTTAAAAATATGAATATTTTTTTTGCACTTTTCAATGTTCAAATGTAGGGCTGGGTGATATTGCAAAAAATAATGACGATATCATGTGTTATATCTTTCGATATCTATAATTATTGAATATTTTTTAACAATACATTTAGGACTATTAGGATTTTTTATTTAACCACTTTATTTTAATTTACCAGCATTATTATGGCAAATAGTTTAATAGTCAAAAACAAAAATATTTTGAACAAAATATCTGATCTCTTTATAATAAAATAAACATAAGTGTCAAAGAGGCGGGCAAACTATTGCTGCATCTCCGATACAAATTTAAAGAGAAAAGTAAAAAAGCACTGCAGTGTTTGGATGCGCTGTGTTTGTCTGAGGTAATAAGTCTGCCGTTATTACTGAAATGTGTATATTCCATACAAAGTGTGAAGCAGATTGGTTAGTTCTACTTACATGACTCGCGGCATTTGGAAAAGTTCAGATGTTTTTCAAGTAGGGGTGCCTGGAAAGTGCGCCTGTATTGGAAATCATAAACTTACACCCTAAGCTTACTGGCATTGCTTCAAAGGCGAGTGCTGAGCAGCCACATTTAAATAAAACTATTGCTTTTATACCGAAACTTCATACCGAACTTTTTTTATCATTATTGACAATGGTGTTCGGTCAATAAATATTGATACGATTTTGTCGCCCAGCCCTTTTCAAATGAACATTTTGTTAAAAAAATCCTTGTTGATAAAAAAAATAATAATAATAACTGAAATCTCATGCCAGGCCACTTTTTCTCACAGACTACAGACTGAATACATAAAACACCTTTATAATGTCACCATTTTCCTAGAAGCTTGTTTTTGCCATTTATTCAGTCAGGGTAAAGATGTTGGTTTTTAGACACTTTTTAAAAATATGTAATTTTCTGGTCAAAATGTGTGTGCAAATCTTTGTAAAGACTTTACTAGTTGCACTTTTCTGTTCAGTTTGAAATTAAATTATGGGTTATGGCTATGTCTGATTCGGTTATTCTAAGTCAGAGATGGCCAAACTAGGGCCTGCGGGTCAAAGTTGGCCCACGGTAACCTTTATTGTGACCCTCCATCCCATATGAGAAGAGAGGGAGAATGTATGTCATCATTTATAATTTAACATAACTTTTGTTTTTTTTTAACTGTAGAGCTACAAAAAGCAAACTGAAAAGAAATGTTTCAATTAAATGTTGTGAATAAATCAGACAAAAAATATTTAATGCAGTCACTTGATGCACCGTGGATATTGCAGAAGACATCAGCAAGCGAGTCAAGGCAAAGTGTATTTTTTTTGTGTTGTAAATGGGATTGTTCATGTTTTCTATTGTAAGATGTTCATGATAAAATATACAAAAATGTATAACCATTAACACAATTAAAGTATTTTAAATATAATTAATTATAGTATTAAGTAAATTTTATAATGAATTTTAATAATAAATTAGAAATTTGCATTGACACATTTAGGGTTCGGTATTATTACCTCCAGCCCACCACCCTCGAATCAAGTTTTATTTTTGGCCCTTCCTAAAAAAGGTTTGGGCACCCCTGCTGTAAGTGATCTGTCTGACTAAAAAACAAAATCATTATTTGTTAGTGGATCATGACTAGTTTGTTAAGAACAGAAACTACCGTTAAGCCTTTTAAGTGAATGTTTGTTTGTTTGTTTGTTTGTTTGTTTGTTTGTTTGTTTGTTTGTACTAACTCAAATAGTTAAATGCTTGTTTTATTGTTGCGTGGGAAAATAATCGTAATTATTGGGAATTTTCATTCCTTTCAAGGTTTTTGATCTCTCCGTCTTCAAAGATGATCTCTTTATAGATGTCTCTCAGGGGTTTGCTCTTATCTGAAAACTAAAAGCTAAAAGCACGAAGATTTTGATATTTTTGGTTCTTCGCAGATGTTGTTCCTTATCTTATCTGTTTTACGTTACACATGTTAGTCTGCGGGGAGGCGAGGAGCATGCGAATAAAAAGCAACACCACCGTTTCATACAAGACATGTGGCACTTTGATTTTGATTTTTGCCGTCAATTATCTCCAGAGAATTTCCGACTCTGATTCTTTTAGCTTTTTTCCCCCTTCCAGCACATTGTTCTGGATGGTGTGCTACGCTTTTCAGTTTTCGTTGTCTTCGCACTGTCACTATCTCTTTTTCTCTTCCTGTTTCGCACAGTCTCAGCAGGCTGTCTTGTCTATCAGCGTCTCTTTGTCTTCACACTCACGCTCTCTATTTTTCCCCCTCTCTTTCTTTGTCTCCATCAGCAAACCACCAGGCCCACATTCTTCGCGAGGAAGTTTGAAGCCAGTGTAAATCAAGAGATAGTGAACCAGTTGGACGTCTTCCTGTTCGGGAGTTTGCCCCAGGGCACGCCGGGTCTCAAGGCCTACTGGGAGAATGTTTTTGATGAAGCGGATGGGATTCACAGCTTGTCCGACGCACATCTCACTCACTATCATGCCTTCGCCCGATTGGGTCTGGCACGAACCGCCAACTCGCTACAGGGTGACCCCAATGACAACAGCTGCAGGTAAGTGTATATATACACAGTATGTTTCATTTGAGCACAAAATGGTTTATTTATAATGTCAGGGTCTGCTGTTTCCTGTGTTGGGTGTAATTAGTTTTAAAGTAACTACAGAAGTTATTGTAGTTAGATTACTTTTGTGCAGAAATTGTAAAGAAAGTGATTGCTTTTCATTTTCAGGTAATTTAATTACAGTTATTAGGGGCCAAGCACCGAATGTGCGTAGGCACCTACTGTGTCCATTCCGGTTTTTACTATTATTCTTCCGTCTTCTTCTTTCACCTCCGCTCTGTGAGTTTATGGCAGCCCTATGAAGTCTGATTTTCAACCACAACAAATTTGGACTCTCTAACTCAAACTCTCTAGCACCACCACTTATCAGAAGTTTTACTTTTGTTTATCTTTATAACTTCTAAACCGAATAAGCTACTATCAAATATTTTCCTCTGGTTCCATTGCTTAAGCTGATTGAAATGCACCCTATATAATAATTTTTCCGTCATAAAAAAAATAGCTATTTTGAATTGTTAGTAAAACCTCTTTGAATAAACTCATCCTAGGCGATTTGTCAGATTTTCACCAGTTATTGAATTCAAGTTGATTAGCCGAACCGTTTTCAATTAACTTGAGAACAAATTTAATGTAGAGCTTGAAAAAATGGACTTAAGGTGCTATCTCTGTAACGCATTGACGTATTCACACTAAACTTAGAGTGTGTTATCACAACCATGGTCTGAAGTTAGCTGCAGCGTTTTAGTTATTGTCATGAGACTGGTCTTGCAGATTTATTATATCAAACTGAGAACGTTGATATAATTTATTCCCTAATTGACACGACTTTCTGTCCACCATCTTGAATTTGTTTGAAAATTGGTTGTTTTGAATTCTCCAAAGATCGTTAGTCCAATTTCTACCAAATTTGGCTTATAACATGCTGCCAGAAAGTTATACAATTTTCCAGTTGCTCTGTAGCTTGTTGCCATGATTGTTTATGATGAAACCGCTGGTTGCTTTTCCCTGATAATTGCTGCTTGCAGCTGTATTTTATAGTATATTTGTTAAAATACTGTACATAAATTAAACAGATTCATCAGTTAAGAGAAGCAGAATAATTAATTTATCAAGTAGATTGAACAATTAGAATTCATTGAGAAGCGAATGAATTGAGGCAGATGTTTTTTTCAATATATAGTATGTATGAAATATTGTGCAATTGCTTTAAAATGTTTTGTGTTTTCATACACATAAGGTTTATCATTTTTAAAGTCGTCGTCAAAGTTTAATTTCTGTTGTCTATGCAGTATAGAGATTTATATGTAGTGCATTTTTTAGTCAAGTATTTGAACAACTTATTAAGTAACTTATTTCTTTTCAGACACATTAATTACAAATGTATTTAAATATAGTTTATTGATGTACTTAGTAATTAATTACTTTTTTTTCAATTCAGGTCATGTTTATTTCTATAGTGCTTTTACAATGTAGATTGTGTCAAAGCAGCTTAACATAGAAGTTCTAGTAAATTAGATAATTTACGCAACACTGGCTTTAACTAACTTTCCAAAGGTGTTTTGTGTTATTTAATTTTATTATAGTAGATTTAACCACATTGAACATTTTTTTGGGGAGTTCTCTCTATTTTTTTTTTTATATACAAAGTTTGGCTTCCATGAGCTTTTGTTATGTAGAAAAGAGACGGCTTTCATTTCACAAATTATAGATCAAACAAACCATTTAACATCATCTAAAATTATTGATCAGTTAATCCGTGAATTAATAAATACCTTCGTATTCTTTAAAAATGTCATAGCAGAATTTAAAATCCCATGTATACAAAGCGATTCCATTAAAATTTTTCTTTTTTCATGATATAATCACTTCCATTCACATGAATTTAGTGCAAAGTGACAAAAAATAAATCAATAAGTATTCACAGCCTTTGCTCGATACTTTGTTGATGCACTTCTGGCAGCAATTACAGCCTCAAGTCTATTTGAATAAGATGCCACAAGCTTAGCACACCTGTCTGTGGAAATTTTTAATCATTCCTCTTTGCAGTACTTCGCAAACTCTACCAGGTTGAAAGGGAAGCGATGGTGTACAGCCACTTTCAGATCTCTCCAGAGATGTTCAATAAGATTTAGATCTGGGCTCTGGCTGGGCCACTCAAGGACATTCATCGAGTTGTTGTAAAGCAACTCCATTGATATTTTGGTGGTGTGGTTTGACTAGTCTTCTAGTTCCTGCTACTAAAAAACATCCCCACAGCATGATGATGGGTTGGTATTAACCTGGCATTGAGCGGTGCCTGGTTTTCTCCAAACGTAACGCCTGGCATTCACTCCAAAGAGTTTAATTTCAGTCTCATCAGACCCGAGAATTTAGTTTCCTATGGTCTGGGAGTCCTTCAGATGCCTTTTGGCAAATTCCAGGCGGGTAGTGACTTTCGTCTGGCTACTCTACCATACAGGCCTGATTGGTGGATTGCTGCACAGAGGGTTGTCCTTCTGTAAGGTTCTCCTCTCTCCACAGAGGTATGCTGGAGCTCAGACAGAGTGACTATCGGGTTATTGATCACCTCCCTGACTAAGGTCCTTCCCCCCGGATTACTCAGCTTAGATGGCCGGCCAGCTCTAGGAAGAGTCCTGGTTATTCCAAACATCTTCCACTGATGGATGATGGAGGCCACTGTGCTCATTGGGACTTACAGAGCAAAAGAAATGTTACTGTAACTCCCCAGCCTTGTGCCCCGACACAATCCTGTCTCTGAGCTTTACAGACAATTCCTTTGTCTTTAGGCTTGGTTTGAGCTTTCACATGCATTGTCAACCCTGATACATTATATAGACAAGTGTATGCCTTTTCAAATCATGTCCAATCAACTGAATTTACCACTGGCGAACTCCAATTAAGCTACTGAGACATCAGTGGAAGAATCATCAGTGGAAACAAAATGTACCTGAGCTCAATCTAGAGGGTCACGGCAAAGGCTGTGAATACTTTTCTGTACATTTGATTTTTCAGGTTTTTTTATTTTTAATAAATTGGCAACAATTTCCAAAAATCTTTTTTCACATCGTCATTATGGGGTATTGTGTGGAGAATTTTGAGGAAATAAATGAATTTAATCCATTTTGGAATAAGGCTGTAACATAAAAAGAAATGTGGAAAAAGTGAACCGCTATCAATACTTTCCAGATGCCCTGTAAATATACAAATCATTATAACTTGTGCTTGTGTGCTTAATGTGGCACTTTTTTTCAATAACACAACATGCAATATATAATGCAGAGGAAACACTTTAATCGTATAATTCCTTGATGCACAACAGTCAGCATATTTAGTTTATAACGACATAAGTGGAGGATGAAAGAACAGTCACTTTTCAGTAAATTGTCCCATTAGCATGTTTGCTCTCCGTGTTTTTGTTTAGTGTGTGCTCTTTATGATTGCATTTTGTTTGTAAATGTGTGCACATTATATTGGCCTCCTGGATATTCCAAGAGCTGTGCTGCCTGCTGAGGGAAGCGCGCAGCTTTTATTTGATCCCACTTTCAGCAGATCTGAAGTTCCTCAGCTGTCCAAACATCTGTCATTACTGAGATAGAGAAGACGAGGGACGGGCGGCGAGTTTGTCAGTCTGGCTGCGGTGTTTATGTGTTTATCAGTGCAGTAATGCTTGGCATTGCTGCTGTTTCTGCTGCATTCAGACAAGCGAGCCCCAGTGTTTGGGCCCTGCAGAGGGACCGTCCCGCACAAGGAGACGGTTGTTGCTGGTAGGTGGGGGTTGGGTGATGTCGAGAGAGGGAGCGCTCTGTTTCTGGCAGTCCTCTGTGAGGTGGGACGCTTCAATCGCTGCTCTGTTAGGCCCTGCGTGCTGCCCACCTCCTGCGGTGACGAAAAGCAGAGGGGGGCGACGGGCGCACCGGTGTAAATATTTGCTGTTCTGCTTGTCAGGCTCGCGGTGCTGGGATGGAGCACCTCCGGCCTGTGCTGTTATACTGAGGAGAGCTAAAGGTGGAGATTGGCTACGCATGACTGCCTGTATCTCTATCAGCTCCTACTGTATCACCTAGGTGTATACACCTGTCTTTCTGCTTTTTTCTGTCTGTCTGTCTTTATTTGTCTGTCTGTCTGTCTTTCTACGGCTGTCTATGTCTGTCTGTCTATGTTTGTCTGTCATTCTCTCTATCTGTCTGTCTGTATGTCTATGTCTTTCTATCTGTTTGTTTGACCATGTATGTTTGTCTGTCTTTCTATGTCTGTTTTTGTCTGTCTATGACTATATATGTTTATCTGTCTGTCTATCTCTGTCTGTATGTCTTTCTTTCTGTCTTTCTATGTCTGTCTGTCTCTATGGTTGTTTATGTCTGTCTGTCTTTCTCTTTATGTCTGTCTTTCTATGACTGTCTATGTTTGTCAGTCTGTTTATGTCTGTCTGTCTATGACTATCTAAGTTTTTCTTCTGTCTGTCTGTCTGTCTGTCTGTCTGTTTATCTGTCTGTCTATCTCTTTCTGTATATGTCTTTTTTTCTTTCTGTCTGTCTGCCTGTCTGTCTCTCTGTCTCTGTCTATGGCTGTTTATATATGTCTGTCTACTGTCTGTCTCTTTCTGTCTTTGTCAGTTTATGTCTGTCTGTCTGTCTGTCTGTCTGTCTGACTGTCCATCTTTCTGTCTGTCTGAGTGTCTGACTTTGTGTGTGTCTGTCGGTCTGTGTCTGTGTAGTTGTTTGTGCTCAGAAGCTTTGTAAGTGTTTTTTCCAGAGTATTGCTGTTACATTTTGATGACTTTGATGAAACACGCTGACAAAAGCAGATGGCTGATATGTTTGTCTTTTTAAAAATCTCCTGTTTCAACTTGAATAAATGAGTGCAGACCAGTCTTGTTATACTTTGATAAATAGATAATTAATAGACTATTCAGATTTAAGGACATTTTGTTTTTTGTTTTTTATCTGTGGAAACATTATTTACTCTGTAATTTTGGGGTCAGTTAATTTTTTTATGTCACCAAAGCTGTATATATTTGATTACATGCAGCTTAAACAGTAATAATTTTAGGCTTAAATAACTTGTTATGGTGGCGCAGTGGGTAGCACAATCGCCTCACATCAAGAAGGTCGCTGGATCACTTGGCGTTTCTGTGTGGAGTTTGCATGTTACTTGTTCTCCCTGTGTTTGCATGGGTTCACTTTTGGTGCTCCAGTTTCCCCCACAAGTCCAAATACATGTGCTATAGGTGAATTGAATAAGCTAATTTGGCCGTAGTGTATGTGTGTGAATGCAAGAGCGTTTGAGTGTTTTCCAGTGTTGGGTTGCAGCCGGAAGGTGGAAGGGCATCTGCTGCTTAAAACATATGCTGGATAAGTTGGCGGTTCATTTCGCTGTAGCAACCACTGATTAATAAAGGGACTAAGGCAAAAAGAGAATGCTAACTTGTTATAGATTATAATGTTTTATGTATTCCTGCAATAACATAACAGATTTTTTTTTTGGGGGGGGGGGGGGGGGGGGGGGTAATTTTAGTATTTAATTGAGTATTATTTAGTTATAATCTAAGTAAAGGTATCTTTTATTCAAATAAAATTAATTTTACAAGCAAAATGTTTATGGTTTAGTTTTGAGCTTTACAAAATATAAACCTTTCATAATATTTAACAATAAACACTGCATCATTTTAAAAACAGAAATCTTTAGATATCATCAATCTCTTTACTGTCACTTTTAAACAATTTAATTTGTTTTTGCAGAATGTAAGAATTCTTAAAACAAAAAAAAACTTTCAGACGTTAACATTTTGGCTAGAAGTGTATATATTGGAATATCTAAAGTGGACAATTCCTCCACCAAACTTAATCTATTTATGTCAAAAATAATGCAAGTTTGCTTTATGGAAATTCTGAAATATTATTCAAACAAATAAAAACAATTTAAAGAAGAAGATACCCATGACAGATGAAGCAAACTGTTCATATTGGACCATATTAATTATAATTTTAGGATTGATTATTTGTTTTCTCCCTGTAGGTATTTTGCCATGGGCCATCCGGTGTCTGTCCACATCTACTTCCTGTCTGATGAGTTTCAGGGGTACCTGGTCAGGCATCACGCCACCAATCTGGCAACCAGCAAACTGGAAACCCTGGAGACCTGGGTAATGCCCAAACAGTTCTACAAGTTCACCAATCCTCCCAAAACCTTCACCCGACTGCAGTTTGCTGAGGTTTGTAAGCACGCACTCTTATTTACACATGCAGTGGAAGTGAATTGTTTTTGTGTGTTCTGGTAGTTAAAGGCTGATAGGCAGCACTTTTATGTGTCCTCTGTTGGCCATTTTTTTTTATGAACAGAAACTGTCGTCATGCAGTTTTTCATGAATAAAACTTTTAAGACAGTGCTCGTTTTGTTCTGACTCGCTGCAGTAAAAAACGTCCTGGCAGTCTATAGGTGCGCGTTCGCCCCCGCTGTGCCCTCAGAATGTATGCATTGCTAAGAAAATTGACCTCCGAATATTATTGGCAATCTTACACTGCTGCACATTGTGCTTGACATACTCCGTTAAACAACCAATAATTCAGGCGTTCTTCATTGATTTAGCTGTCAGCCAGCGCCATACCTGTCATCTTGCCCTTTGGCGTAATCAGTGATTTGTCTGCCACGAGTGTGGGGGATAAAATAATGACTTCACGCTGAACTGCCCCTCAGTTTATCTGTTGGAAGCCAAGGGTACATGTACAGCTGCAGACGCAAGAGTTAGATGTGGCTGGATGACGTCTAACGGAAGTGATTACCTCTGTAGAATTAGTTTTTAAATATCTGATCGAGATGTTAAAAAAATGATACTTTTACTAATGAAAGTGATATAATTCTAGTCTACCAAATATGTAAGTTTTTTAAAGTTGTAATATTGTGTTTAAGTCACATCATGTCAGAATTGCACTCAAAGTGTTAATTAGACGTATTCAAGCGTGTGACTTTTTGTTTTTGTTTTATTTTGTTCAACAATGTCATTTTTAAACGTTTTAAAGGGCACCTATTTTACCACTTTTACAAGATGTAAGATAAGCCTTTGGTGTCTACAGAATGTGCATGTAAAGTTTCCGCTCAAAATACCCATGAGATTATTTATAATTCAATTCAAGTTGATTTATACAGCATTTTTACAAAGTAGATAGTGTCAGAACCGCTTAACATAGAAGTTCTAGTAAAATGCAGATTTTTTTTATATTACAGCCTCCCGAATCTTCTCATTATAATATATTGTAGTGGTGTTTGTAGCCTGTGGCTTAAAATGCAAATCAGCTGCCTCTTCCTTTCCACTGTGCGTGTCTGCTTCCCCTTCCGTTACATCAGATAAACAGCAGTCAGTGATAGAAACAGACTTAGACGAAGCTGAAATACAGCTCATTAGTCAAAAATACCAAGTTTATTTCATGTTTATGCGGTGGTTTATTCAAGCCTTTCTAAAATGATGAGTCCCACACAAATGCTGTTTGCAACACACACACACACACACATATTATTGTGTACTGACACCATGCAGCCATGGTGATTATAGCATTTAAGAATTAGATACTAATTTTACTGTCTTTATTGAAAACATGTTCTGTTTTAAAAACGTATAAAAGTTGTAACAAATATATTGATCCCAGTTTATTTGCAATGAAAATGTTCCGTGGACGTGTACATGTTGTTATAGAAACATGGTGTCTGTCAATCAAGTCAGTGGGCGGAGAAACCGCACTCCTACATCACGTTATGGTGGGCCTCAAAATCACTGGGATTTGGGTCGTATTTTAACATCAGGAAATTTAAAAAAGGGACTTGTGTTTCTATCACTCCAGTATGACAGTGAACACTATACATACAGATAGTTCTGTCCAATCAGCTTACAAAAGTCGATTTTCATCATAGGTGCCTTTTAATGTAATTCAGCTACACTTGAAAATTGGCTACTGTCAGCTCTGAATAAAATGAAACAATAAGAAGCATAAACCTTTATCCCTGACTTCATGACAAATCATTTTACAGTGTTCAGAAAAGAAAAATTAACCATTCAAAATATAACATTATATGATTATCAATTATCAAAAAAATGAGTGGCATTTACTTAAACACTTCAATCAAGCCTAACAAATATTTAAAATGAAACAAATATTCCAGAACATTTTGTATTTGTTTATAATAGTGTGTATAATAATAGATGCATGAAATCATCTTTGTTTTTTGATGCAAGCAATTTCTCTTGTGACTACTTTTTTATTTTCTTTGCAACATTGAGAAATAATAACAAAATATTACAAATTAAAAATATTAATGTTTTGCTTGTTCCTATTTCTCTTTCAAAGTCTAGATCAGTAATCAGTAGTCTAGTTATGCCATTAAAAATAGCAAATAAATCAATTACTTAATTATTAAAATACCTTTATTTGTGATGCAAAAAATGTTTAGGTGCCTATTGTTTTATTTGGAAGATTGTAATAAAACAAATTATATAATAATAATAATAAAATAAATAGATAAGATATATTATATTAATACACATTTGAAGAATTATTAGCTCCCCATAAAAAAATTAATATTTCCCAAATTATGTTTAACAAAGCAAGGACATTTTCATAGTATGTCTGATAATACTGTAAATATTATATATATATATATATAGTTATATTCTCTATGAAATTTTAGTGCTGTTTAGTAGAGAGAAGATTTTATCAAGACATCTTTTAACATAATACTTTTAATAACTCATTTCTAATAGCAAATTGATATTGTCTTTCTTTGTCCATGAATATTTTACTAGTTATTTTGCAAGACACAGCTTAAAGTGTGAAGGCTTATCTAGGTTAACTAGGCAAGTTATTGTATAACAATAGATTCATGTGTAGCCAAAAAATACTTAAGGGAGCTAATACTATTATATATTCTAATATATAATACATTAAAACCTGCTTTTATTCCATCCAAACTAAAAGAAATAAGATATTCTCCACAAGAAAAACAATAAAATAAGAAATACAATGAAAACGATCTTCCTCTTTTAATCATCACTTAAAATATTTGGAAAAATGATACAATTTCACAGGAAAGCTAATCATTTTCCCTTCAGTTGTGTATATTAAAACACCACAGGCTTTTATTTCTATTCAATCAGTTCATTTGTGTCAAAAGACTATTTTTGGAAGCTGCCTAGATGTCATTTCCCAAAAGCATTAAAGACCCCATCATCTATTCCTTGGGAGACAAGCAGAGCTGTAAAGTGCTTAAACCAAGTCCTGCTGGGTCTTCGGCGTCTTCCCAAAAGAATGATCAAATTGACTTGCCATGTTTTACCGAGGTGCAGCATGGCTCGGGTTATGGGACAGGTCAAGCGTAAAGAGACTCCTGCTGTCGGTCACGTCCTCACTCGGAAATGATGAGCTTTCTGAGAGTGGCCGGAGGGAGCCGAGCGTTTGATGGCTTCAAACCACCACCAGCCCCGTCCCACAAGTCAAATTACCTCACAGTGGGAGAAACATTACACCGGGCACCGCTGATCGTTTGATGCAATTATGCTCATCTCAGCTGGTCCTGGCGCTCCCAATTGGTGCCATCTGTTTACTTACGATGGGATCTTGTGCAATTCATTTGGCTGTATATCCGTCTGTGCAGCTATCTTAGGGAGCTAGCGGTATGTAGTGCAGGCATCCCATCACTTTGGCTTCTTGAGGGACTGAATTTGAAGGATACAGAAAGTTTGTTCAGCTTCCAGAGCAATGAGGGCCTGTTCAGTGTCTGCAGGGGCTGAACTGACACGTCTCTGCGCAAGAACCAGAAACTCAGAGAGCCTCAGAGCCCCAGGACTGCGCTCTCTTCCTCCCTCACTTGCCTGCTTCTGCTTCTCTTTCAATGTTTCTGTCGCTCCAATTTTCCTCTAGATCACTGATTCCCATCCAGAGGTGTGTGCTAGTACTTCAGGGGGTTTTCTAGCAGCTTCCAGGAGTACTTGACATGATACGGTTTAAACCTATGGAAATGTTTAAAGGATGTTTCACACACAAATTTGAATTTTGCTGTTAATATACTTGCGAATTATAATGTGAAGAAGATCATTTTAACATCTACCACCACTTAAAACAATAAGATAAATACAAGCCAAATTAAAACAATACATTTGACTCCTAATGATACATTGAGGTGTTATAAATAAAATGAACAGTCTGTGCAAGAAACATGTCATTATTTACAACAAAAAAGAATTGGCCGCGAAAATGATTGGTCAAATACTGAAAAGGGCTATTTTCTGCTGTAATTTGCATGTATCTTTAGTAATAATGTTGTAAATATTGATGAGTCTGAAATGTCTGAAAATTTGAGCCAAAAGAAGGCTATGCTGTACCAGAGTGTTCAGCGCGCTGGTTTCATTCTCCCTCCAGCCATAGCTGACCAAAGCCGACTTTCAATTACAAGCTTGCCTACATGGCATAGTCATAGTTTAAAATAGCTCAATATTCCACTCTGAGAATATTCAGTTCATGCTCATCTATACTCATCTATGCTTAAGAACTGCACATTCTCACCAAAAAAGCAAAGTCTCTTCTTCACTTTTGTCAATTGGTGAAATTTTGACCACTGACTTGCTTGGTTTAAGACTTGTGGAGCTGCACATCGATGGATTTACTCTTCAGTGTTTGGACTTTCAGCAGTGAAACTGAAACCCCACTGAACTGAACTAAACTTAACTTAATCTCTGAAAACTGGACTGACACAATTTCACTTTAATAGAACTTCTATGTTAAGCTGCTTTGACACAATCTACAATGAAGAAGCACTATGGAAATAAAGATGAACTGAGTTAAAACAACGCATCAACATGACATTTCTGTTTAGTATACTTGTTCCTGCTGCTTGCATTAGTGTTACTGTGCCATGCTGGTAAAATGACACTCATTCAAGAATTAACTAATTTCTCTATTAGGTGAAAATGAATAAAATAAAATGAAATAATTCATTCGGTTCATTCCACTGTGGCGACCCCAGATTAATAAAGGGACTAAGCCGAGAAGAAAATGAATGAATGAAAATGAAATCATTTATTATATAGAAGTATATTATAATAAAAAACAGGCATTATATAAGGTAATAATATTTGCAATTTAACATTTCGTTGTACTCTTAATCAAATATGAACATGTAAGAGACTTTATTCAACATTTATTCAATATTTGTTGAAAACTTTACTGACCCCAAACTTATTATTGGTAGAGCATGTGATGTAAAATAATTGATTTAACTATTTAAATGGATTTCAATGACATGAATCCTGTTCCATTATATTTAGAAAGTGTATATATATATATATATATATATATATATATATATATATATATATATATATATATATATATATATATATATATATATATATATATATATATATATATATATATATATATATATATATATATAATTATTATCATTATTAAAATTATTATTATTTATTTTATTTAAATTTTTTTTGTCAAAGTTTGAAATCCAAATGAACTGGAAGTTGCAGAGACTTATATTTCAGTATATTAAATGGATTATTGAGTAGGGGGCAGGACTTTTTTTTGCACCATTCCCTCATAGCAGACTAAAGGCTGATTTATACTTCTGCGTCAAACGCCGGCGTATGCTACGGCGCTGACGCATAGTCCTTCGCTGTGGCCATCGGCGTCGCTGACGTGCACCTCTCAAAAAATGTAACTACATGTCGCAACGACGCGTAGCGCAAGCTCTGTGATTGGTCGGCTTGTTAGCGCTGACAAGTCTGGGCTGGGCCGAGAGCCGTGTGAATGGTGCGAGCCTGATGGAGCGATTGTTTACAAGTGTGGAGTCCCGTGAAGGAGCTCCGGATGGAAAGTTTTGCTTTGTGTTTACCTCATAGTTAAAGTTTTTGCACGTCTGCCAGTTCCTGCCTCAAAATGAGCGAGTTTGAGCCACTTGTACATCCCGGAAGTGTTCAGGAAAAGCAAAACAGCAGCGAGGAAACTCGACACAGAGGAACATTTACACCTCACTACCAACTAGCGTTTCGGAAGTGTTAATGCAGACCAACAGAGACAGCGCGCAGAAGTATAAATGCACAGCTACGCGCGTTGCATGCGCCGTGGGTTACGCTGGTCACTTGATGCAGAAGTATAAACCAGGCTTAACAGTAAAGCCTTACCACTGCACATGACATTTGAACACAACTGTTGGAATAGGCCCTCTTGTGGCAGTCGCACAGAATTTTCAATTTTGTCATGCATTATGGAAGAAAAACTGATTCCCGCGATGTCCAAAATAAAAGGAGTGCAAAAGCAAGAGCCTTTATTCTTTATGCATTCACCATGGTTGAATGAATGAATATTAGAAACTCATAGACCGCAAAAATGAATGTGGAGACAACATTAAATAAATAATATTTTTATTACTCGTTTTTTATTAATGTTTTTTTTTTTTTATCTAAATTTTTTTTATTCAAAAAACTAACGAAAAAAACTACTAGTTCTCATCACGTGCACACAGACCTGCTTGGACAACACTGGATATACGGCCTAGTGGCAATATTTTAACAGATCCGCAGCTCAAATCAGATCCGAATTTTCAGCACAAGGACATGATCGGAACTCCACGCAGCTCCCAGAATACTCTCTTTTGAAAATGAATGATGTCCGGTCTGTCACTTGTAACTTGTCATGTGCAGTAAAAAGGTGGCTTAAGAGGGGCGTGGTTAGAATTATTGAACATTTTTAGTGGATTAACTTGCATAGAATATCTGTTCCTATAAAGAATAACAATATGCTCTAGCAAAATAAACATTGCAAATTTTTATTTCACACAGACTTCAAGCTTTACTAATACAAGTACAAAAGTTCATTTGGCTAAAAGATACACTTCCCCATCAAATGAAATGTTATATATTTGTTCTTTTTCTCTCATCCATCAGATTGGAACAGACTGGGACGCGAAGGAAAGGATATTCCGGAATTTTGGAAATATGATGGGCCCCATGGACGAGCCTGTGGGAATGCAGAAATGGGGGAAAGGCTCAAATGTGACCGTGACTGTGGTGTGGATTGACCCCACTAATGTGATCGCTGCAACATATGACATCCTGATCGATGCCAGTGCCGAATTCACACACTACAGGCCTCCGCTGAACCTGCCCCTGCGGCCCGGCATGTGGACCGTCCGTGTGCTGCACCACTGGAGCCCCGTGGCGGAGACTCGCTTCCTCATCACTCCACTCACACACCACAAACACCTGCCTATACGCCATGGTGAGGCTTACACTGCATACTAAACACAACATGAATCATATTGTAGATTTTCAACCTGGAGTATGGAAATATGACAAAAAATGAACAGATGCCAGCATCTTTTAAATTATACAGTAAATGAAAATTAGTGTTTCATTACCAAAAAAAAAAAGATTTTAAAGGAGAATAAATGAAAATGTAATGTTCTGAACATACTTTTTTAAAATTAATCATTCTTTTAGTGCTGTTAAATGATTAATTATGTCCAATCACATACAAAATTTTTAAATATATATTTATATTTATGTACATTTTAATGCACAAACATATATATATACATGTATATTTTATATCAATATTTACGTTTAGTAATATTTATATATTGTTATATATAAATACAACAAAAACTACTGGAATTAAGGCAGTTTTTAATTTTTTAAGAACCATTTTGAGGTCAATATTATTAGCCCCTTTAAGCTATATATTTTTTTGATAGTCTATAGAACAAACCATCGTTATACAATACCTTGCCTAATTACCTTAACCTGCCTTAGTTAACCTAATTTACCTAGTTAACCCTTTAAATTTTAAGCTGTATAGAAGTGTCCTGAAAAATATCTAGTCAAATATTATTTACTGTCAGCATGGCAAAGATAAAACAGAAAATGTGAAAAAAATAAACAGGGGGGCTAATAATTCAGGGGGGGCTAATATATACACATATATACATATATACAATTATACAATTTTTAGTCGGCAGCTAGCTCTCTGCAAGTCTCACACAGTTGCCCACTGAAGCTAAGCCGAGCTGCGCCCAGTCAGTACTTGGATGGGAGACTACATGGGAAAGCTAGGTGGCTGCCAGAAGTAGTGTTAGTGGGACCAGCAGGGGGCGCTCAACCTGTAGTCTGTGTGGGTCATAACGCCCCAATATGGTGATGGGGACTCTATACTGCTCAGTGAGCAACCAACCCCATATCATGATTGGCTTCATCACTCTGTCTCCACTGAACCAATCAGCTGGTGTGTGGTGTGAGGTGTGGTGCAATATGGCTGCTGTCGCATCATCCAGGTGAATGCTGCGCACTGGTGATGGATGCGGTGATTGTCCACAACAATGACTAAGGCGCTCTTAGGGTCCAGAAAATCGCTATTAAAATGTAAGGAATTATTATTATTATTATTATTATTATTATTATTATTATTTTACATAATTAAAAATACACTGTACAGAGAACATTATGTAAATAGTAATTAGAAATTAATTATTAACAGTAATAATTAAAATAATTTAAATTAAACTTTTTGTATGCGATTTGCTGTGGTTAATCACTTTGCAACACGTAACAACTAAACATAAACTGAACATTTTTATTAAATTAAGCAATGTTAGAAAAAGTGTTAAAGTTAAAAACATTAACTTGACAATGCAAACAAACAGAATTAAAACCAATTGTGAATTGAAAAAGAACAGTTTAACAAAATAACCGAACTGAAATTAATTTTTATTTAAACTTTAGCATACAGTATGTTTTTAGACACTAACAATATGTCACTTGCAAAACCCTCATTTATACAGATTTTAACTGTGCAGTCATTGTGCAAACATAAATCACTTCCATAACAAATAACTTCATTTTAATCTGACAGCCTTCATAGCTGAATAAGATGTGAAATGCTTTATGGACCCGACCGCCCATCATAGCATTGCATATCACTTGAGAAAGCGCCGTTCAGAAAGCTGTATGTTTGAAGCTTTGATTTATGCCTTTTCGCCAGCTCGTATATTTAAGGCAGAATGAGATTCGCTCCTTCCTCCAACCGTAATGACTAATCCTCTTGCATTTTGGGTGCCCGTTTTAAACACCGTCGTCTGACACTTTAGTACACTGTATATTAAACTGCCTGAACCTTTCAGGTCATCCCACCCCCTGCTTTCAAAGGCACTTTCTGCCTTCACGTCTCGCTCTGTGCCTGCTTGCCTATATATAGCCCCGGCTCACAGTCACCAATGAGTAATACACCACACCGGGTCATCTTTCATCGGTATAAACTCGAAAAGATTACTGTGCAGGGTCACAATTGGTATCTCTTACCAATTAGAAGAAATTTGGAAGTAAATGTGGTCAGAGTGGGTGGTCCTCAAAATGCTGCTAATGAGGAAGAGGGTGTGATTGTGGTTCACCGTGCGTGTGTTATGTAGGAAGGGGTGATAAAGTATTTACTGAGATAATAGCAATGATTGACTCTTAGACAAAACAAGGGCTGCGTCCGAAATCACCTACTCAGTAGGTAATGCATTTGAATGTAAATGTACTACTCGACCGATAGAAAAGTATGTTCTATACAGTATGAATGTGAGTAGTATGAATGGAACTAAAACATACTACATCCGCCATTTTGATATTATCATGTGACTTACACACATTAGTTGTGTGTTGCTTCTCTCCCATTCATGAATTCTCTTGCGGTGCATCATGGGATTGCGTAGCATCCATCTGATGTGCACTTCAGAATCTTGAAGGAAGTAGTAGGTCATGCGGGTACTCGCATACTGTTTTTCGAATTCTATGAATTCAGACATACTACTCAGCCTGCATACTGTGTTTTGCATACTATATAGTATGGAAGTGTGAAATTTCTGGCATTTAATTCTTTATCTTTAAAAATAAAAAATAGAGGTTTTTTTAAAGGGTGCCTTCACACAAAAACTCTACAAAATGCAGCACAGAAGTTAAAACATTCCAGTATTGATTGATTGATTAATTTATTTTCTTTTCGGCTTAGTGCCTTTATTAAGCTGAATGAACCGCCAACTTATCCAGCAAATGTTTAATGCAGCGGATGCCCTTCCAGCTGCAACCCATCATTAGGAAACACCCATACACTCCCATTCACACACATACACAACAGACAATTTGAACCAGCGACCTTCTTGCTGTGAGAAGAAATCGCTACATTCTGCTCCACTAGTCTTGAGCTGACTGATTTAGTTTTTAGCCAAAATGCTGAACAGTATAGGAAATACTAATCAATGAGAGACATGCACTTACAGATTTCCCTTAAAGAAAGAAAAGCCAGAATGGAGAAATTTGAGAACTTGTGCCAAACTGAAGCATTGTTGACTGATCTAAAGTACCTACACTGAAAAAAAATATTCATTGAATTTACAAAAAACATTGTAAGGTAAGTGATTGCCAACAATTTATTTGGGCTGAATTTGAACAAACAAATTAAGTTGAACATTACTCAATTTATTTTGTTTGTTTAAATTCAGCCCATATATATTGTTTACACTTACCTTAAAAAATGTAGTAAGTCAGATGAATCATTTTTCAGTGTATATCTGTTGGTACATTTGTACACTTTTTTTACAGTTTTTAATCTAACTTGCAGTTAAAGTATCAATTAAAATGCCAATCTAAAGTATAAATGGCAGAAGTAAATGAATACATTTTCCTTACCACCAAATATTAATCTTAAAATTGTAAAAAAAAAAAAAAAAAAAAAAAAGCATATCAAGTTTTAAAGCAGATACTCACATGCTCTACCACCATCAACTAAACCTGTTTTTTTTAATGATGAAAATACAGCAGCGGGCTCTATATAGACCATTTTGAGGGATGTAAACAATAACAATGGTCCTAGAAAATTTCCTGTTTTACATTTTTACTTTCCAAGAATTCAAAAAGTTTGACATATTGATAAATAATGTAATGATAGCTGTTTTAACGTAAAGGTTATGATTGGGTTGCCTTTTGTTTTAGTTATTAAATAGTTCGACAAAAACCAGCAAATGTTCATGGGCCAATGACATTACTACATTGAAATGGTCTTTTTTGGTCACTTGCAATCAATTTGCAAGTGACCAAAACATACAGTTTGTTTTCATATCTTTGTTCTGTTGACATGTGATCCAAAGATTCATAGCTTAATCCAGAAGGAAATCTCAGTGGCTTGTGCTGCGTTTTAATGGAGATCCCAGTGTAAGCTACTATTATGGGCCATTGTTTTACCCACAGGTCACATGACTCAAAAAACTGTCAATAGAGTAAAATGAAAAATAGAAACTGGCTTATTGTCTTATTTTGTGATCAGTTTGTAGCAATGTATGGATTATCTGTGCTCTTCTAGCCGTCCTATAAAATTAAAGTAAAGTATATTTGTAATGCAATGCTAATCGACAGCCTTTATATCTGTATAGAGTACTATAAATGATTATCACTTCTTCCCCATTCTGTGAAACGAAACCACGTCTGGTCATAAAAAGATGTTCTTTCAAACACTCGACTGTGTCATGAAGGGAAGTTGCTGTAAAAGCATGTCGGTAAATCTATTTGATTTGAAAGAGGCTTCTGTAGGACATCTATTAATTGCAGGAAGACTAATTCTTATTGAGAGGACAACAATATCACAAAAAATGTTGATCCCTAAATAGTAAGCACACATGATTTACCCGAGTGTCTTATGATTAATGCCTACAGCAGGCACGAGTCCTTTGGCTCGTCGAGCCTCTGCACCCACGGCTAATAAAAGTTTATGGAGTGTGTTTATGCGGCCCAGGTCAGACGGCAGGCTGTATGCGATGACACTCGCCTGTCCAGCATTTCCTGGCCAGCGTGAAATGGAATGTGTAGGAAGGGTAAGATGGGTAAAAAGCAGAGACAGAGGGTGATCTGTGAAGGGCAGCCGGACTGAGAAGTGCGAGGAAATCTTCCTCCGAAATCCTCCAGGCCTGACATGTCCTTCCTCACAGCAAGATCAGCCCATTTTAGCCATCAGATGTACAGTACAGGATGTGCTGCAGGCGAGTGGGCTAGATCATATGTGAATTAAATATTTCAACGATTTGATAGCAATGTTGAAAATCCCAGCTGTACTTTTTTCATGCCCTTTAAAAGACTGAATATATAAAACGTAAAGCCACTGTTTTATATTAAGTTGCAGGTAACACTTTACAATAAGGTTCATTAGTTAATGCATTTACTAACATGAACTAATCATGAACAACACTTGTACAGCATTTATTAATCATAATTGAACATTTACTAATGCATTATTAACATCCAAGCCCATGCTTGTTAACATTAGTTAATGCACCATGAGTTAACATGAACTAACAATGAACTACTGTATTTTAATTAACTAACGTTTAATAACATGAATATATACTGTAGTAAATGTATTGTTCATTGTTTGTTCCTGTTAGTAAATGCATTGCTAACATTAGCTAATGAACCTTATTGTAAAGTGTGACCAAGTTGCAAATATTGTTTTTGAAAGTCCTTGAGCCATCGTCTTTCTTAGATGTTTTATGTAACTAAATGAATGGCTCTATTTTCATTTTAATAATCTATTAAATGTGTCTGAATATTATAGAGCAAATTAAGACAGCAAAAAGAGTATAACTGTAAAACCACAGTATAGAAATGTGGCCCACATATAAAATAGTGGCTTTACTTTTTATATATTTAGTCTTTTTAGAGGGCATGAAAAAAAGTATCTATCGCCATCTCTGTTCGAAGCATTAAATCCTAAAATACGTGCAGTGTTATTTCTTAACATTTTTGTTATCTGTTGTTGTACATCAGCACAAAATGAACATTCTATGTTTATATATCTTTGTTTATGGATATGGTGTATTATGTTTATGGATGCGATTATCAGCTAAACGTTGCTAATTGGCTTAATGTAAGGACTAAGGATGTTCCGTTTAAACACTGATATCTTGTGAACTTGCTTCATTTTTTAGTACTGAAGCTTTAATTAAACTAAAATAAAATAAAAAATGGAAATCTAGCATCAAAGTTAGGGCTGCACAAGATAACGTTATTGCATATCGCAATGTTGCAAAAATATGCAATGTTGAGTCTGAATTATAGTTGAACAGAATTGTATTTGATCACTGTAGTTATATGAATTTATATGATTTATGCAACAAAAAATATTTCCAAAGAAGCAGTGAGGAGATTGTAAATAAAAAAGGATGTAAGGATGTCGCCAGAGTGGCTTTTTGGTTTCTTTTATTGTGCATCCCAGCCACTAGCTCTCCGTCTGAAAGATTTTTTAGCATAGGGGGTGATATAGTCAACTTCACAATTTGTAATGTTGCAATATGTATTTGAATAATGGCTGGTGCCTTTACTTGAAAGCTCAGAGTAGTTTAAGAGTCTTTTTAACACTTATGTTTATTTTATTATTAAGAAATCAGATATTTTGTTGAAATATTTTTGGTTTTGACTATTAAAACTATTTGCCTTAGTAATGTTGGTAAATTAAAATAAAATGGTTAAATAACAAAAAAAAATGTAATATTGCTAAATGTATTGTAAAAAAATTTTCAATTATTATCGATATCAAATGATATGTTACCTGATATCGTTATAATTTTTTTTTATATCGCCCAGCCCTATTTTTACTTAAGAATCTTTAGATATTTGGACTAAAAACGAGACAAAACTAAGTTAGGAAAGGTGATTACTAAGGTGATTATAAGCTGATTACTGCTAGTCTCCCCAGAAATTCACCAAATAGTGCTATTCAAACTTCTTGTGAAACTGTATTCATATCACAATATAAGATTTCAGATTTTTTTCAAAACCATGCAGCCCTAATCAATATACATTTATAGTACATCAATAATAATAAAATAACCTATTAATATTCTCCTCGTGTTGGCGTGGGTTTCCTCCGTGTGCTCCTGTTTCCCCCACAAGTCCAAAGACACGTGAATTGGGTAGGCTAAAGTGTCCTTAGTGTATGAGTGTGAATGAGTGTACAGGTGTTTTCCAGTGATGGGTTGCAGCTGGAAGGGCATCCGCTGCATAAAACATAAGCTGGATAAGTTAGTGGTTCATTCTGCTGTGGCTTCCTCAGATTCATAAAGGGACTAAGCCGAAAAGAAATGAATGAATAACCAACGATTTTACCTACAAAACAATAACCTTCCATCCATCAACATGAGACAACACAAACATACTCAGCACAAAACAAACAAACTTAAAGCTAATGCGGATGTTAAAATACTTTCTCTACACATCAACTCTGCTGGTCAAATATAAATCGCTTCCAACCAGCGACATTGTTTTTTTTCCAGAAAAATCTCTCAGCTACAGAAAATGCGAAAGTCCTGGAGTCATCACCTTTTTCTTTCTCCCCAAAAATAAAATCAAGGAGCCTGTTCTTTATTATTCATGTCCAAATATGTAAAATGTTCCAGCGAATTCAGTCATAATCGCACTTTTGCTTCGCTTGCATTAAGCCCTCGTGCTTCTCTATGAGGAAAATAAAATAACCTTTTTCTTCTCTCTCACAGAGGATGCTTTAAAAATGCACAACGGACCGGCTAAGAACAGCTACATGGAGCAGAGTTTCCACGGCCTGAACCCCATCCTCAACATCCCAGTGCACCTGGGTCAGGTAGAGGCAGCGGAGCACAACGCAGGTCTCACGGGGTCTGAGCTGGAGCGCTGGGTGGACAGTCTGGTGGGCGACGTGTGGTCAGCAGTGGACGTGTGCTCGACGGGCCCTAGTGGATGCCCCGTCATGCAGACTTGCAGGGAAACTGTGTGGAGCTCTCTCAGCCCAGACCCAAAATCCCAGCTCGGCCCACCCAAAAACAACGGACGAATCAGGTAGCAGCTTTCACTGTCCTGAAGACTCGCCTTCCTTCATTTTTAAGGCCGTTTAATTTTTAATATTTATTTATCCAGCGCCGCTCATGTCAATATGAGCACAACAGGCCTCTCAAGCGCAAGACATGAGGCTACGAAAGTGTGCGCCGGGACGTTTTTACAACTTCTTTTTTAAACAAATGTGCTCTCAATCTCAAACTCTGAGTGCTCTAGTGATGTGAGTGCTGTGAGGCGTCTCGATATTTAATTTATTTTGATTACTGTGATTGAATCTTTTGTCAACTGGACGCAGCGGGTGATGCCTATGTGTAGGTGTTCCCGCTGAATGCTGGGATTTGGGATATTAAGCACAGAACGGACCTTAACACTGGTTATAAGACCAAAAGTGATGTTTGTATAGTAAGCCTCTATTTAAAAACACACGTGCACCTACAGTAAATGATGGAATGAGTGTTTTTCAGCCGGTAGCTTATTAAAATCCAGTGTTTTGGTTCATATTTAAGTGTTCAGCACAATATTGCAGTTTTTTTTTAGTTTACCCAAAAACACTCACACTTCCCTCCTTTTTACAAGCCTTTTACTTGATCAAATACAGTGAAACAGACATTTAAAGCCTTCAGTCTCCCCAAATGAAGTCTAATGTTTGGGTTTTAATAAGTTATTGGTTGAAAAGCATCTGTTTTTAATAGATATTGAGTTTTTGACAAGTCGTGGAGATCCAGTGTTGTGCAAGATGCCAACCTCCACACAATCCTATTGCTTTTGGAGAGCAGTAATGCCTGTTCAGAAATAGATCACTTTGTCCTGATGTACAGATAAAATGGCTTTTTGGCTACTTTTAAAGAATATGTAGCTATAAAGTATATTTAAAAATGACCAGTGAGTGCATGTGTTTTAAGCTAGCAGAGTGAACAGTTAGCAGTATACTAAAATAAGGCTAATCAGTGATTGTAATGATTTGGCTCGTCATCAGTAATCTAATATATATATATACACACACACACACACACACACACACACGCGCACACACACACACACACACACACACACACACACACGCACACACACACAGACTACAGGTCAACAAATTTAAGGGTCAGTATGATTTTTAAATGTTTTCAAATAAGCTCATCCTGCTTACCAAGGCTGTATTTATTTAATCAAAAATACAGTGCAAATTGTACAATTGTGGTTGTCATTTCAACATAATACAGTGTCGTACACAGTGAAACGAAACAATGTTCCTCCAGGAGCAAAGTTCTACATCAAACAACATAAGTTGACAACATAACTAGAGCGCAGAGTGTGGTTTGTGCAACATTTAGTGCAAATAAGACAGGACAGGCAAGACAGGACAAGACAAGACATGGTAACAGTAACACTGGTCAGTACACTGCGGATGTTGAGCAAATATAAATACTGTACAGGTAAACATTTGTTATTGAGGTAGACATGTTGTACAGCATAAAATAACTATTCTTTTATTAAATAATAGTATTGCACTATAAAAAAACTGTTCAAAAGTACTTTATAATTTAATTTCATCATTTATTCCAGTGATTTAAAGATGAATATTCTGCTTCATTACTCAAGTCTTAATTAATTAATATTATTATTATTAATATTATTATTAATGTTAATAGTAATAAAAGCAATAATGACTGGGGTACTAATTTAATTTGAAAGTACATACAATATGAAAGCCGTTATTTAAAATATAAAAAGCATTTAATTTTATTTTAATTAAAATTGTAAATATTTTTTACATTTTTATAAATGCTGCCTTGAGGAACAGAATAATTGAAAAAAAATTGACCCCAAACACACATATATATATATATACACACACATACATACATATATATATATATACACATACATATATATATATATACATATATATATATATATATATATATATATATACTAAGTTGCATTTATTTGATCAAGCATACAGTAGTGCAGCAGTCTTACTATTTTAAAGAACTTTTAATCTCTGTATTTTGAAGTGCAACTTGTGTGATAATTCAAGTCTTCAGTGTCACACAATTCTTCAGAAATCATTATAATATGCAGATTTGGTTCTCCAGAAACATGTTATGACACTAAATATAATTATTTTCTAAAACTGCCAAATATTTGTGCTACACGTTTTTCTGGATTATTTAATGATGAATTGAAAGCTCAGAACAACACAATTTATATGCAATGGAAATCACTTCTAACATTATGAATGCCTTTACTATCACTTATATCAGTTTTATTAGATTAAAGGTGTTCATTTCTTAAAGATCTTACTGACCCCAGTCTTTTTAATGAGAGTGTAAATTAAAAGATTTAAAAAGCAGTACTGTAGCTGTTGTTTGGCCGATACAACTTCCGTTACACTGTAAACCACCTGTTTTGTGTGTTTGTTTTAACACCGTAACATTTCTGATCAGGCATTAAGTTGAGTTTTTGGTCTTCTTTCAGAAAGTACAAATGTTTGTGATGGGATTCTGTGAAGGACAGAAACTTGCATGATAGTGGTCCACATTTCTTAAAGCAAGAGAGAGACTGTCTGAAGTGTGGCTCTGTCTGAATGCTGTTACCCTACAGGCTGTCCAAACTTGAAATGAAAGGTGCCAGCTGTGCTGGCAACCATGAAATATGTATAATTTCTTCACCATTTTATTATTTTCCTTTTTTTATTTCTTTCCCCTGAACAGAGGTACTGGGTAACTGAGAGTTGCGAGTTGGCTATTTATTCATGTGTTTATATAAATGAAATAGATATTTTTTAGTCAATGACTAATGTCTATATGCTGTTTTTGCAGCTCATTCAATACCTTTTGTAAACAAGCTGCCTTTATTTACAAAGGCTCTCATCCCACCCATATTACACCTATAAACACAAGATGCGGTACGAGTACGGGCTCTGGTAAAGACCTGTGCATTCCTACTCCTGAGGTCCATCTGTTCATCTCATAAACCAACTGGATGAATGATCTTAAATGACCTCAAGAACTGAGATTCTAGTCATGCTGCTCGTCACTTTCTTTATTTTAGTCTTTTTATATGAGCCAGTGTTTGGTACTTTGGCCATAATGAACAAAAGCGAACGTTGGCTGGACTGGTAAGTTGCATCCGCTAAATTTCGCCATGGTTCCTGAAGTTCTAGGCTTTCTCCTGCACGTACGCCACATTTTGGACGTCACATTTTCCAGATCGGCCCATCCATAATAATGATAGGTTGGCCTCTTGGATCTGACTGAAATGTATTTATAGTGAGGAAGATTGCAAGCTTGCTGGACTCTACCGTTTGCATTGGACCAACATCTTCTCCATTTTTACAAAGCTTATATGTTTCTACATGGCAAATGTGGGACTCTGTATTTAAACTGGGCTTGTGTGGCTTGTTGCAGTCTCTCATTTGAGGAGCGCTTCTCCTCTGGGACTCTGTGACCCTGGCCTAGCCATCTCTTTGTATGCAATCCGATTGTCATCTGGCCCTCAGAGATGTGGCGTCCTATCCGGAGTGCGCAAACAGTCAGTTGTCATTGCTGTCATGCAATCTAAAGGCGGATGCGACCTTAACTTTTCAATAAAGCACTCTTGTCATTCACAGGTTCCCAGCAGGGTGCGAAATGGGATGCATTATTTAAATTTTTTAATAGAGCGTCTAATGCTTGTCTAAGTGGTGTTACATCTGTACTGTATGTGTGAAAGTGCAAATTATTTGATATTCTAAAAAAGAAAATTGATATAATGCTATCTATTCACATCATCCACTTCTGACTTATAATCTTGACCTGATGAAAAGGTGAGGATTCAGCCACTGTGTAGTTGAACGTTAACGTGAACCATTTATATGGTGAAGTGTTTATTTTTCTCCTCAATGTTAAATACTTTATTTTAGAGTACAAATGCTTACAAATGAGTGCTAACACTGGCTTTTCTAAAGCTGCTCTGTTTGTTTGAGCAGTGTGACAAGCTGTGATGTTATTTGGGGGTGAAGCTTCTTGTTTCTAATCAATAGCATATACAATTGAAGGCAAATTATTTGTTTTCCTGTGAAATTTGTATAATTTTTCAAGTATTTTCCTAACAATATTTACTGAAGTAAGGACATTAGCCCCTTTCACACATACAGATCTTTCCGGAAAATTACCCGGAATGGGATCATGTGTGAACAGGGCCTTTTTGAAAGCACCGGTAAATTTGTTCTGACAAATTGTAAGGTAAGAGTTGTTACATAACCGGTAATTTGCCGGAATGCTGCGCAGTGTGAACACAGAAGAAAAAGCATGTTCACATTTAGAACTCGCTGACATGACTACTCCAGCCAATCAGAACACTCAGATGCATTTAAATCTGCGCTGTTTATGAAAATAAAAGACTTTGCATATTTTTCCGGACACCTTTAGCTGCTAGATGTTAGTCAAATAATGTTTCTACGTTACTTCTTAATGTCTTCTGTGGAAAAAATTATCGCTGTTTGTTTACCTTCAAGCTCTGCTGACGTGTGTGCACGTTAAAAAGTGCTTCAGTGAGCGCCAGCACACACACACATTTTGTACATCTCGACATGCGAAAGTGTTCCATATGTTTTCATCGAAGTTGTTCACAATACTAATCCATTCACAGAATTTATAATGTAGTCAAATGTGTAAGCCTGACCACTTCTATGTTTACAAATACAAGTGCAGCCATTTATTCATTTCTGGCTAATGATGTCAGAATTTACTGGTATTTTGGAATAGATGTGTGAATGGTCTTTTCCAGCAAAATTACGTAATGCCCTTGCCTGTGAACAGCGCTTTTTTGAATTCGTTCTGGAAATTTTCTGGATATTTACTGGTATCACTGTGTGAAAGGGGCTATTTTCACAGTATTTCCCATAATATTTTTTCTTTTGGAGAATGTCTTTTTTGTTTGTTTGTTTGTTTGTTTGTTTGTCTGAAATAATATTTAAAAAACAATATTAACAATATTATTAGCTCCATTAAGAAAAAAATTTAAGAT